TCCTCGGCTCAGAGTCTCATCAAGCTGAAATCAAAGTGCCGGCCAGGCTGCAACTCCGACAGAAGTGAGGGAGTTCACCAAAACGGTTGTCATTGCAAAAGTGGCTCTTACCTAAGTGCTCCCTCTTGATTCTGCTCTCACCAGCCTTTGTTTGAACAGCTTTTCAAAAACCACAGCCTGGCCCTCACCTCTTCCCCATCTCCAGCTCCCATAATGATAGCATCTGGTGTAAGGCAGCCTTTCCCAACAGCCCAACTTAAAGTGTCAGTGTGCTCCTGAGTAGTCTAATGGAAACATATAATTTGAAGTACCATAAAGGTGATAGAATTGTCAAAAGTCCAAGCAGTCGACTAGTAAGAGATTTCAGTTGTGGTATGTTCTGTAACAGTAGACAAGTCACAAATTTTTCAGCAAGACAAAGAGAAACAAGAAAAAGCTATCAGTGCCATCTTGTGGAAAGACCTATATTAAAATGTCTAAGGTAATCTGGCCACACCCTAGATCATTTCAAAAGCCTCTACACCCAAGACCAACAGGGATCCAGTTTACATCAAGGCAGTTTTACCATCTGTTTATAGGCAATGCCTCTGAATAGAAGAGGCTCCATTCTGATTGCTTGCTTCTCGTACCATGACCAGTTGCTAAATAATTTGTGCATCATCTCAAACCATAAGAATATTATATAACCCTGTACCTCTAACACCACCCACACTCCTCTGATTGCTCCTCCACATGGCCTGATTGACCTATCATAGCACTCACATAAACACACATACACACTTAGACCACAACTGCTCACAGTGTAACTCTTCTTTTTTTTCAGTTAACCTTGTTTAGACTTCATTTTACTCCTTGAGTTTATTGGAAATTATTTTTCTTCTTTCCTTCAAAGTGAATACTTCCATCTGGATTCACAGTTACTTATTTCTGCATAACAAATCACCTCAAATGTGATGACTTAAAAGAATAAATATTATCTCACAGTTTCTGTGGGTAAGGAATTCAAGAGAGGCTTAGCAGGGTGGTTCTGACTCAGGGAATCCATTAGGTTGTAGTCAAGATATTGGATAGGTCAACTGAATGTGGCTGGAGGATCCACTTCCAAATTAGCTGGCTCCCCTACATGGCAGTGGGAAGGAGGCTTCAGTTTCTTACCCCGTGGATCTCTCCATGCGGCTGGCTGCCTGGGTGTCCTCACTATATGGCAGCTGGCTTCTTCCCAGGAGCTTCCCACAGCAGCTCTGCCTTTCAAGAGAGAACAAGTCAACAACCAGCCTAGGAAGTCACATACTGTCATGTCATCTCCACAATGTCCTACTGGTGATAGAAGCCCATGTGGAAAGGATGCACAGGCGTGAGCTGGCTCACTGGGGCCCTCCCAGAAGCTGCTGCCACACCATTCCTTCTTCTTATGTCCAACTCCCAGATCATCAGGTCCCAAGGGTGAAATGTGTTTACATGTAGGAAAATAAGAGTATTAGGACACGGACAATTCTGATTGTGGTCTAAGGGCCACAGGAAGCAGAACTCAAGCAATCTTTCACCATAGCGTGACACAGGGACTACCTGGTAGAAGGGATTCTCTGACTCTAACATCCCCTCTAACTGCCACTGGCACCAAGCCAGTCAGGGAACTGGGACCTCAACATGAAGAAGGAGTCAACACATTCTTGTCAACTGTGGAAGCGGAAGCGAGGATGCCCTAAAACTGTCTGTCCTGCCTTACAATGGACAGAGGACAAAATGGGAAGGAAGATCCCTGGCTGTAAAAGACTTCTGGTGGTTCCAACCTAGGCTTCTCTGTCCCCCACTGACTTCTTTAGCACTTGTTATTTTATTGCACAATTAGCTTTTTAATATATATCATCTCACTGTCTTTGATGAGCAATTTAGCACTTTATTATATGTTCAGAGAATAATTACAACTGAGTCTAAATCCCCCCCAAGTATACTGTAAATTCCTGGAAGTCAGGGAAATTGCTTAAGCTTATTACTCAGCCCACCATCATTGTCAACAGATTGTTCTCCAGGAACACGTCCCTGAACACATTCAGACACACGCCATCATACACAGGCACAC